GTCACCAGAACAACTTGGACAACTGTCCCTACATACCCAACGCCAACCAGGCAGACCACGACAAGGATGGCAAGGGTGACGCCTGCGACCATGATGATGACAACGATGGCATTCCTGATGACAAAGACAACTGTAGGCTGGCCTTTAACCCTGATCAGTTGGACTCTGATGGTGAGTCTCTCAATCTTGTCTTCTGAAAGATTGGTGTCTTATTTGGCTATATGCATTATTTTGGATGGTTTAGTTTTACAGCTCCTTGTCCATAGTTCTACATCTTTGAGACCATGTTTATTTTCCTCACAGGTGATGGCCGTGGTGATGTGTGCAAAGACGATTTTGACCAAGACAATGTTCTGGACATCCATGATGTGTGCCCGGAAAACTTTGCCATCAGTGAAACAGACTTCCGCAGATTCCAAATGGTGCCTCTGGACCCCAAGGGCACCTCCCAGATTGATCCCAACTGGGTGGTCCGGCATCAGGGCAAGGAGTTGGTGCAGACTGTCAACTGTGATCCTGGCATTGCTGTTGGTACGTAATAAACAAACAGACATCTCACTGCAAGTGCATGGACACAAAATATAGTAGTGAACCAATTCTAAAACTTCTCTTATCTTCTATCTAATTCAGGTTACGATGAGTTTAGTGCAGTGGATTTCAGTGGAACGTTCTTCATCAACACGGACAGAGATGACGACTACGCTGGGTTTGTGTTTGGCTACCAGTCTAGCTCGCGCTTCTACACAGTGATGTGGAAACAGATCACGCAGACCTACTGGTCCCACACACCCACAAGAGCTCAAGGCTACTCTGGCCTGTCAATCAAAGTAGTCAACTCCACTACTGGACCTGGCGAGCATCTGAGGAACGCCCTGTGGCACACCGGAGACACCCCAGGACAGGTGAGAGCAGATTCATTGATTCAGGGCTTAGATATAATTTAACACAATTTTCTTATTTTAAACACATTGCAATATAATAATAATATTAATATCCCTTTCAGGTTCGCACTCTTTGGCACGACCCTAAGAACATTGGCTGGAAGGACTTCACTGCCTACAGATGGCATCTGACCCACAGACCCAAGAATGGACTTATTAGGTGAGTTCAAAACCTCTCTGCTCTGCTCTTTCATTCCATTACAAATCTGCATCATTTAAATGAAATGCCAGTGAGCTCATGCGATTACATTTTCTTTTTTCAGAGTGGTCATGTATGAAGGTAAGAGAATCATGGCTGATTCTGGAAACATCTACGACAAGACGTATGCTGGTGGGCGATTAGGCTTGTACGTTTTCTCTCAGGAGATGGTTTACTTCTCAGACCTCAAATACGAATGCAGAGGTAAGTACATAAGTGATGGTTTGATATTTTAAAAAGAATAGCTATATCACCATAGACTTTATTTGTAACGTGTTTTCTTTCATTTCTTTCAGATACATAATTGGACCAGAGAGCCTTCCAGACAGAATGGGTCTTGTCAGTATGAATATATAGCACAAGACCTGGATCGATATCTCTTTAACTTTTTCTTTTGAGAAATGCACATTGGAGGAATAACGAGCAAGTGAGGTAAACTGACCTCAGGACATTAAGCCAAATGAAAGTTCAATGCACCACTGCACCAAACTCAAATTATGAGCGCAGCTCTGCTCAGAAGAAATTGGCCCTCACTTTGTTGCTCTGATCTGCATTGAAGGGGGGGCACATTTTATTGCTTTGCACACCTGAACTGTTGTTGGTTGTCGGTATTCCTCTGTGGATGAGGGACCAAAGGGAAGAGTGTTCCATGTTTTTAATTATTTTTTAATTTTTTTGAGCATTAATATACATCTGCTGTGGACTCAAAGATACTTGTGTCAGTATGAAGAAGGCGAGGAGAGAACTTTCTTAGGTTGGGGTAAATATACCCCTTGAAGGAACTGTTGAGGGACCATGGACAGTATGGACGGACTGTTACTATCAAAGAGAGTGAATGTTGTATGTGTGTTTGTGCATGTGTGCCACCCAACAAGCATAGTTATGAAGACAACCGCATCATTTTTTTTGTTTTGATTTCTCTTAATGACCCCTCAACCCACTATCATGCAGACCATATACGAGGTCTTGTACTTAGCCGAGGCTTAGGGCTGGCCCAAAACAATCGTCTTCTCAGGAAAGAGCACTAGAAGAAACGAGGAGAGCACAAAATTCAGGACAGCACAGGGCCCCAAAGCAGGCACACTGAACACTGCTTTGGAACAGTAATTATTAGCAAATATTATGTTAATATCTCTAATTTTTACTGAAAGTGTCAAGGGACGTAAACAGCAAGGGCCAGTCTATTTCCTTCACGAGTAAACTTTTGTAAGTATGGCTGTTTGTATTTACTTATTAATCAAAGAGGCTTTCATTCTTGCTCATCTCTGCATCTTGCCATCTTAAAATGCTGTCAGCAACCTATTCTAATTAACTACAATAAGTATCGGCTAATGGCAAGACACAGCATTACATTTGACCTAAACGGTAAAAAAGATAACATCATTTACACAGTATCTCTGAATATTCTGCTTTTGCACAGTGTGCATGACTGGTGTGCCTGAGCTTGTGTGTACATTTCTGACAAGGGGAAATCAAAAGAAACCCTTTATGTACAAATATTACCTCATTAATTCTTTTTGTATTGAGGCCAGCAATACACAAAAATCACTTGTCTTACCAACAGAGTATAAATTGGTTGGCTTATTTTTTTTTTTAAGCAAGACTTTAGTATCATTTATATGCTGTATATAAGATATTTTTGTAGCGAAAGAAGCCCAAACAGGAACGTAAAGGATTAAAGAAATGTTGTCTTGACTATGTTGTGCTATATGTGTTTCCTGTGCATTTTTTGATAAATTATTATGTTTGTTGTATGTTGAGGGTATTTCATTGTGTAGATATATGCTATTTAAATAATTTATCTAGAAGCGTAGCCTCATATGGAAGCGTTTCTGTCTGTATAAACTTATTTGCACACTGACATGAGGATGTCTTTGTTATTTTGGTTTTTGTATGTCTTTTTTTTAATTATTAGTGGAGCTTTTATATAAACTTTGTACTATAGTTTCTACCTAAAGTGCTGTTTATACTCCAACCTGGTATTCTGTAATGTCAAGTGAACAATAAACACTTCATGAAAAAAAGTACCTTGGTCAGTTGCTGTCTTTTTGGACAACAATGAAATAGTCAGCTTTTTTTCGCAGAGATTTTTGGACTTCATATCTCCTTTGATTGAGGTCTTCTCCATAGAAAAGCAAAGGGAATCGAGCCATGCCATGTCAAGCGACTGGAATCCATTAGTTGAGTCTAGTGAAGCCTTGGAGAAAGGGAGTATCCTCGGGAGTCAACAGCATGAAAACTCAACATGAAGTATAACCCACTTAAATAGCACATCCATACAGGTCTAATTACATATTACACAGGCATCTCCTTCCACCTTCCACATGAGAGGTAGACATAAGGAATTTTGCACTGAATTGGGGAAGTGAACTTAAGTTATAGCTGTGGTCCACTCTTGCCAGTAGGAATGTGCATTGAAATTCCATAGTTTTAATAAAAATGTCTCAATAAAACGTGTCAAAGTAGATAAGGTCCACAGAGTAAGCCTGCAGCTTGCTGACTGTTGTGCTGTAAGACGCTGCAGTACATTATCAGTAAACATAATTGAGATCTTTCACAGGGCCAGAAAGAGCTGTAATCTAAAGCACTAGAGAGGGGCGTTCCAGAAAATCCAGACAGTCTCAGTATGCTGCAGGTCTCTTTACATTAGAAGTGACCTCATTCTTACCATAGTGAGCTCACTGTGTTTCCATTACCCCACATAAGCGGTATACTGAGTCATCCCTACTTAAAATATATATATTGTGGGAATTACACATGGTATTTGTAAAATGGACAAAAATGCTACACATGCTGCATATATATCTATGAAATTATCCCAGATGTATGGAATTAGTTAAAAAAAACAGTCTTATCTAGTGCGGTCAGTCTGAAAAGTGTTTGCGTTTGAGTTGTCTGTTAAGATTCCTGGACAGATAGTGTGGCAGGTTTCACTGATAGCAGGGCTCTTGTTAGGGTTTGACCTTGGAGGCTCACCTAGCTGACGTGTTTTCAGTCCAAAGGAATGTGAGATAATTCCTGCCGTTTAGACGGGGTTAGAATGTGTGGGTGAGGCGAAGAGTGAGACGAACAGGCCCGTAGGTGTCCAGTGCCAGGAGAGAGGAAAGGCAGGACCTCTGGGCTGAGGTCAGCCAGGTGCAGACTAGCTAACTCACACTGTGCAAGCAGGAGCAAATAGGAACCGTGTCAACAGCTTTGCAAATCTCCCAAACAAACCAGAAAGCATATTTCTCAAAGCTGGCCATCTTTTGTCGGTGGAATCCAGTTTCTTTAAACGAAAATTAAGCTGGAAAGAGGTCACACAGGGTCCAGTTTCAGAAGATCCTACTAATCTGACCCTGTCTGAAGGAGTTCACCTGCAGAGGCCGAATTGAAAGGAATGCTGAAGTGGATCTGACTATCACTCCTGTAGAGCACACATCATCCCTCTGTCCTCATTAACAGCCATGTTGGATCCTTGACCACACATTACTAACAGAGCCATACTATATTTCATAAGAGAGGGCTTAAAGTTAATACAATATAAGGGTTCAGACTTCACTAGACAGACCCGCTGCTATCAGCTGAGTGTTTATGTGTGCAGTAGAACATTCTGCGGCCACTGTACCCGGTTATTAGATTTAATGACAGCAATTTTCTGTTCTCATCTATGATACTTAGGTTAATACAAAGGGTGGCCCTGCTGCTTGGTTTCCTCCTGCAGAGCTATAAACACAAATAAAAACAATGGGACGCAATCCAGCTGCATTGTGAAGACATGGAGACCAAGTAGGATCACAATAACAGCTCTCATCCTCAGTTAGCCCATGAACCAAAGGTTAGAACTACAATTTCTTCAAATACTGACACATTGCAAAACATGTTCATGATCAGTTTATGTTACTGTATGTAAGACAGGTTAGTTATATCTCCATAAATCTAAAAGCTTTACAGTGTACCAAAGCCTCTTTGTGAATTCATAGTCTTTTGTGATAATGAAATATTGTGGTAATTTAGTATTTTAGCAATAGCAACATCCCAGCAATGATGTGTCTTTTGATAGCAGGGTTTCAGATGGATTGGGCCCATCAGTCTTTGGGTGACTTTTTTAGGGTCTCATGGTGTCGTGTCATTCGTCTCAAGATCGTGGGTCCAGCTCTCTGTCAGCTCACACTCATCCAGCAGACTAAGCAACTGCTCCTCAGTAAGGTCTGGTGACTCATTCTGCAGGAAGACACAAACATAACATATGTACAATTTAGAATATATCTATGGTGTTAGACTAGGGTTAAATGAAAAAAAAGAAGATGTGCAGATGTGCGTGCAGATGGGCGTGCACATAGCCTTTTACAACCAATCACACATGTACACTGGATCTCTGGCAGTATCAAGGTCCCATTTCCCTATTAGAGAAGTGACGACAGAATATTTTTCCGCTCAACTGCTGATCTCTTCCAAACATTTCCCATTAAGAACATCCTTTACTGAACTTAAAACTCAGTTCTTGACAAATCCAGACAATGTGTTGTATTAATGCATGACCTGTGATAACAGTGGCAGTTCATAATAATATACTTTTCCCTGGTTGGAAGCTTCCCGGGAAAAAACACTTCCAGTTGGATATAGCTCTTGTTATTCTACTGATAACTCGTACTCCTCACAGGGAGCCTTCTGGGAGTGCATGTGAGTTCAAGGAGAGAAGCCAACCTTCTTAAACTAGGTTAAAAGGGAAAGTTTTCAGGATTTAAATAATAGCAATATCTGTTCATGGGAGAGATGTGCTATCTGGCATGTGCAACTGCAATTTTTGGTTTCAAATAATATGGCTTTTAATTCCTTTACCATAATAAAAAGGTGAAACGTGACTAATTCACCTATGCATGTGTGCTCATAGACAGTTGCCATTTCTTGGTGTATACTCTGTTTAGACAGCTGCAACTCAACAGTTAATTTGTTCCAATAATATCAACTCATTACCTTTCATGACATGTGCATTATGCCAAAAACATGTCCAGGGAAGCCAGACCTTAAATCTCCTGTTTGAATAGTAATCATTGTCATCATTCTCTCAGCATGCGCACTCGTGTTTCTAGCTGCCATCCCACACTGAACAGAATGTCCCTGGCCTTTATGAAGGGATGTACCGATCCAGTTACTCTGTCCCTGATCCTGATGTGAGTCATAAGCCAGTTATTCTTTTTGCCATTTGGGGCAAAGGAACAAGCTGTAAAGACAACATTGGCATACTATCACTTTATAAAGTTAATATTGCCAGAATGTTAGCAAATAGTTTCTATTTACAAGCAGACAAGGAGCAACATTATCATTAATTAAGTCATGTCTGAGTCCACCTGAGGAATTTAGGTCAAATATTAAGTCCCCTTTTAGCTCAGTTTTTGGCCTCGGCCAACTCCTGAGGAAAATGTCTGGCTACTTAGCTGCTAAATGCTCCACTATGTTCACTAGCTAATCACTAACTTTGTGCGTGTGCTGTTCAGGGCTGGGCCAAGCCAGTTAGCTTAGCTTAGCACAAAGACATGACGCAGGGGCTAGCTAGCTCTATCTTGTTTTTGTACAGATTAAACAAACAACATACAAAGTGTTAATTAAGGAGTCTTAGAGGTGCTGCTAGGTGGATATTTCCCCGTTTCCAGTCTTCATGCTAAGCTAATTGGCTGCTTGCTGTGGCTTCCTATTTAGTATAGACCTGAGAGTTAATACAGTTAGGATTAGAGTCAGTTTTAAGATCCATAAATACAAAGTTTAATCTGGTATTAAATAACTTTTATATTCCTATATGTTACAGCAGCCAAATGCAAATTTATTACTAATCTGTATTAAAAATTTGGGTGCCAGAAAAAAATAAAATCCTGCACCCCAGTGTGCCTCATCCCAGGCACTCTTTCCTAATATCATGCCCATACAGTTGTTTTCACCCTTTCCCCATATCCCGCTGAGTCACTCGAGACTAAATCACATTCCTGTGTCTCGTCTATCCCCACGAGCTGAAGCTAATACTCTTCATCGATCATCTGTATTCCTCCTCTGACCAGGCCACCCTCTGAAACTCTCCAACCTCTCTCCAGGACCCAGTTGCTGATATACATCTCTACCAGACAACCCTGTCCATGTTCAAAGTCCTGTAATGACACCCCTGAGGTCATGGCGGGTTGGGCCACGTTACTCAATTACCCAGGCGCTGCAGATCATCTCCTACCAATGGACAGGGGGCCACAGGCACCATGGACACATTCCAGCCTTGTTGCCCCCTGCAGCATTGCATGCTTTTGTCCTTTGACATGCATGAAGCAAGACATGGCCATTTGCCTGTGGACTTGACCATCACCTCTAAATAGTGAAGGAAGATGGCCAGTGTTATGTGTTTATTTTTTGCATAACGTATGAATAAACTAGTGACACACTTGGTAGGTACTGTATTATGGATAAGCTTTCCTTCCAGGTTTATTCTACTGTTTTAATAGCAACCCCACTCAGACCAAAAAAAAGAGATTTGCTTGGAATGGAAACTGTAACATAAATTTGCACAAAACATAAGTAAGCCATTAGTGCAACTTACGACATATGGCACAAAAAAATTCACTGGTCAATTACTGGAATGTTAGTGTTTGAGTGTTCATGAATGAGGCAATAAAATGTGCCCCACTGGCTGGAGTATTAATGGCCAGAAATGCCTTTAACCAGCACCAGCCCTCTTGGACATGTGAACTATAAGTTAGACTTTCCTAGAAAAAGGAACGAAAAAGAGATGGAAGAAAGAAAGAGTTTTTTTTTTTTTTTTACTGCTGTGACAAAATGCTGTGACTCTTTAAAAGTGGTTGACCTCAGGTGCCCTTAATACTAGGGAGGCCAAGGGTGTCTGTGGGTGACTGATATGTGTTTTCCTGTCTGACTGTCTGTCTACTCGCTACAGAGTCAGTTTAAAAAAGTATTACAGCCACTTCAGCTCTTTTACAGTCCAGGTTCCCAAGCAGACACCACATTCATTTCAGTAAACAGCCGAGTAAAGAACTGCAGATACAGGACAGCTAGCCAAAGAAAATACATGATCTGTTTGATTGAGGTTGTTCCGGCGAGTAGCCTCCTTCCATTGGGTTATCACTGAGACTGGAACAACAAGGCCAAGCCTTTTTCTGCCAAACTAGGTTCTGTTTTTAAACTGCTATGAGTGGTTTTAGTTCAAGTATCCATTGAACACACTGCAAGAGAAGATGCAAACACATCAATTAGTAGTGTTTTTTATAGACCATTTCTCAGTCAAAGGAAGTGTGCAGGTGTGCCATCCGCCACCATTAATGCTGGAGTTATTCCCAGACATATATCGTCTGAGATAAACATGTGAAAAACAAGCTGGAGGTGCAGAATCTATAGACACTATCACCTATTTTATACCAACACTGACTAACTGAACGCTACGACAAATACCAATGGAAGAATTAAATCAACATACATATTAATTAAAAAAATACTGACTGCCTGTTGGCCCGCTGCTCAGAGAGCTGTTGTGAACATTTTGATTGATCTGAGTCAGAGAAACAACGCAATTACGAGGAATTGGCTTTGACGTGGCTGCTCATGAACCCAACACATTATTAGACAATTATCTATTATTCCAGGAATGAACAATTCCATGAATGACAAGAACAGCCTCTGCCCTGGGCACATCACCTCTCTAACAGTCTTACCAAAACTGCTAAATTTGCATGGTTCACAACTGACTCATCACTCATCAGTAAGTCTTGGAAAAGTTATAGTCAAATAAATCCACAAGCCCTATATATCTGGTGGTTATTGTCAGAATGTAACATTGCTGCTCCAGACATCTGTCTCAGTCTGGCCTGCAGCCACACAAAGCCATTTGCAGAAAAAGTAAGTGTAAGGGAAAACCATAATGCCCTGTTTAGCAACTATTTGCCATGCATCCACTGTAATTTGTCACTTCACTCCCCTTCCTTATTAAATAACCTAACCTTAACCCTAACCCTCCAGACATGGGAGTCCTGTTCCTCTCCCACCAAACAATGGCAGGGTGGGTGAACCCCCAACCTTTGGTAAAAGATCAAGCTTCTCAGTCACTGTCCTGTATCAGTTTCCCACCTGCAGATGAATCTGACAAAGCCAGCCCTGCAGCTATCCATCCTGCAATGGACCACCACCTCTCTTCAGCTCACTGTTGGCTCCTGTACACACAGGGTCCAGGACCGGTTTACCACAAGCAAGGCCTGCTCAGCTTTCAAGGTTACTGACTTCAGGCACATACCTCATCTTTATCGGCCACAGACCCAGGGGCCAGTTCTCCACTATAGGCAGGAATTCTATTCATTACACTCCATGTGGTCCCATTCAGATGTTGAGACCAATTCACTATACTCACTTTCTGCTATAGCACACTACTGACATCACTGTGAATTCATCGAGGTTAGAAGAAAAAAACAAAAACTTGCCAAATGTCAGATAATGTGGATAATACAAATGATTTGCCCCAGGGTCTCTCTGAGGAACCTCATTAAAGTCAGTTTATAGTTGTGATTCATGGCTGAATCCCAATATCCTCATTTTACCCCATCACTTCACACATGGCACCCTGCACATGTATTGTATGAATGAAAGTATTGTACAATGGGTCAGGGACAGATGTCTTAAAATGCTAACATCTAACACTTGCTAAAAAAGGGGGTGAGGGGCTGTCTTGTATCAACGTTCATAACACAGGTCTATGACATTACACACCACCAAAGTTGACAGCATATTTCCTAGCGATGCTGGCTCTCAGTCAACAGCTGCCATGGGGAGGCCTGGAGAGCCGGCTCACTGTAGACGTTGTTGTCCAAAGACGATTTTATCCTCCTTTGAAACATTTTAGAATACGCTGTAAATAACTGCATTATTATCATAGTTCATATTACCAAAAAAGTGAGGAGAATTCATATTTAAGTTTGACTTTAAATAATTGAGCGAAACAACAACAGCTGTTTTTGGTACTTGCAGCACAGACAACAGTGCATAGAGAGTGGTTCTTCACTTCGATTGCACATATCACAAATACCTTTATAACAAAAAACATCCGTGGCCATGATGGGAGCACCTCTTATTCTCTGCCACTCATTAGAAGCAGGAAAAGGGGAGACTGTCAATCTGTCTTTATTTCAGGAGATCATAAAGTGGCAAACAAGAGCAGACAGTGTGACAAGCCAAAGGCTAACAGCCAGTAGCCATGATAATACTGGAATGAAGTGAGAGGGTGAGACAAGCTGAGAGTGAGAGAATCCCTTTTCTCCATGGCTCCTCTTTTCTGGCAAACCTGACTGTGGAAAAAGAGTTGTGAAACTGCAGAGTTGCAATGCAGCTCAACAATGCCTGAAGAGATTGAGGCCAACAGATTCATCAGTGGGTGCTGTCTTTGTGTGGAAAGGACTATAGGTGAGTGCTCACACAATCCCCTGCTCTGCTCCTCTTACTCAATTCAACTAGTTTCAATCTGGATTGTGCCAGGATGCTATACTTACTTGTGCTTTTAATATAATCGTTATTATCCCACCACACATGAAAGACTCTCACATTGCTGAGAGATTTTTTAAGAAATAAAGAAATTAAAACCAAATACATTTTAGTCCCAGTGTGCACACAATAAAGACATGAAGCTGGGAGGAATTAAATATTGATGCAGAGACAGCTGCTGTAACATCAACTGGTTGAAATTAACTGTTGAGCAGAGGTTGAAAGATCGGTTCATGAAAATGTGGCAAAGAGAGCTCAGAAGCATGACGTCCTGCAATATTTATTCAGAATTTAAACAAGAGCTTAAAAGAAAAGAAAATGAAAACCAAAAGTGTTGGCAGGCTATTTGTAAGTTTAGAGTGAATAACACCAGAATTCCTAAGATCAGGGGATGATATAAGGGGCTGGACAGAAACCAGAGGATCTGCAACCTATGTAATGACAATTGTTTGGGAGTTGAGTATCTTTTTTTTATGTAGGAATGTAAGCATACTCAATGACAGAGAGGTATGTGCCAAAGTAAACCGCCCATCTATGTTTAAATTAATCTTGTTATTACAATCAGATAAGCCTAAAGTTGTTTGTAAACTAGGTGCCTTTTTGAAAAATGTCCTTCCTTTGTTTAAGTAAGATTTGTTGTACATTAGCTCTGCCATATGGTATCATTTTGTTATTACTTTATATTTTGTCTGTGCTCTATACCATGTGATCACGGTGCTGAATCACATAAATAAATTCAATTCAATTAAATTTAAAAAATGAAAACTGCTACTTTCAGATCAGAAGTGGACATGAGGTGACGTGAGCTCACAAAAGCTGATTCTTAAAATCAGATCAAGTCATTTTGTGAATTGTGGCCAGTTCAAAACATATGAGAGGGTTGTTGGTCTGGCATAATAGACAAACATGAAAGCATATCCCTGTGGTTGGTACTCAGGTTAAACGGCACTAGAGAATCAAGGCTAACATGACAAAGACTGTATGATTAATGATGTCTGCCTGATTAGATCGAGACTGTCCTGCATTAACCATCCTGTCTTACTGTAAATGTTGGGATTGTCCTTCCTTTAGAAGTTGATCTAGGAATGCAGCCAAATGAGGTTGCAGGAAAACCAGCACCGGATCAGCTGTTGAAAATCACAGATTTAGCGCTAACAGTTGAAAATAACCCTGTTGAACTTGTGTTATCTCTTCTTTCATGATTTTCTTTTGATTCTTTTTGTTGTTTCGTGTAGGTTATCATTGACAGAGAACAATGGCAGTCATACCAACGATACGTTTCCTACCAAGACCTTGCTGCACAGGAAAATATTACCGGCAAAAAAAAAAAAAAAGCTGGAAAATCAAAGGTGAGAGGAGAGATTCTTTGGCACGGAGATGAAGTTCGCTGGAATGGGGGATTGTTTGGATTGAGAGAAAGGAGAAGTTGAGATGACGCACAAAATTACAGGTCTCAGATCTGAAGCCAATGCAACACAGCTTTTGTTTGAATAAATCACTGCAAAAAGGTAAATCAGGTTGATCTCTAGGCAAACATTTAAATTCTTAACACACTGGAATCAATCAAACCGAAGTACAGCAGAGAATCTGTTGTCCCTGCTACAACATTAGAGACTAAGCTTTGAACATTTTCCACCTTTACAATAGGTGCTACACTTCAGCAGAATGCCAGACTAAACACAGAGCACTATACTTCCCATTTGGAGGGAAAACATCTGACATGCAATCCATCCTGACAGTTTATTATAGAGATATTGCACTTCAGTAAAACATTTTTTATGTCAAACACATTCCTAAAACAAATTCATTAACAGTCAGCCTCATGTTAGCTTCCTTCGCTGGAATTCAGGACTAATTTTTTAACTCTTGTCATCACCGACTGTAAGTAGGCACTACTTCTTAAAAAGATTAGACAAAGAAACAAATAGCATTACCCGGACTACAGTATCAAAGCTTATAGACATGTTATTTGGACTAGATGTTTAAAAAGCATTCCATGTGAATGATATCACTGCGTATAAGGTAGTATTAATATTTTACTATTTATGAACTAAAGCTATGCATGCTTAAAGCAGAAAATGGGGTACTAAAGTAAAAAAAATGATTGAAAATTAAATTGTTTTCCAAGCAGCTCTCTCCAAAGGTTTAAAAATAAGCCTAATAGCACATAAGTTGACTTAAGCACATTGTATCTCGTATAATCGTATAATAAAAACAGAAATGTAAAAACTGCATCTTGCATTGTTTTAAAGGGAGTCACACGCTGTTAATATTTCATAGAGAACAGCCAGAGCACTGTCTTCCTGAAGTTTTGTTGTATGAGGTGTTGGGCTTGGCAGTTTGAGTTTACTCCCCTAAACCACAAATCATCATTTTGATTTGCCTGTGTGTGTACAGATTAAACAAATAAGATGTCGATAAGGTGGGAAGCCATATTTTTTGAGCTGTGGAGCTGCAGCTGCTCTCCCTTGCTGCAAGTCTTAATGCTAAGCTAAGCTAACCACCTCTTGGCTCTGACTCCATTTAACGCACAGACGTCAGTGACCTTCTCATCTAACTCTTGAAGTAAGAAGATAGGTACATATCCCAAAATACTTTATAGTAAACTAGTACTATTAAAGTAAACACTTTAATAGTACTAGTGTTGGTAGCATTTGGGGGAAAACTTACTTTAACTAAAAGGATGTTAAACTTTCCTGCATTGCTCTGACTTTGACTTAATTGCTCAATTCAATTCAGTTCAATTCAATTTTATTTGTATAGCGCCAATTCATAACAGAAGTTATCTCAGGACACTAATTCAACACAACAAAAAACGTATTCTCACAAACTGATCTCTCCTTAGTTATCGTGCTCTTATAATACACCAGAGAACTACGCACAATCTCTGCAGACACTTCAGGTACAAAAAGACTGAGAAGACATTTGAGTTATGGATGTTACACAAATCAACTTTATGACTATACAGGAGCTGTGTGAAAGTGTTTAAGAATGCCCTCCCAGACAAATTCCATGCAAATAAATCTTTTCTAACCAAAAACAAGCCCGGTGGCACTAAGAATATGCACAGAGAGTGTGCTGTTTGCATTACACTCGCTTGCTAAGTTCAATCATTTAGTCACTGTATATAAAATGCAGCTTAATGCAAAGAGCGTCTAGCTTCACCAGTAGTTAAGAGACTGGTGGGTTTTTGATGTTTTGTGATCGTAATGAGAGAATGGTTTCCTCAAACAGAGCTTGGTTTAATTAGGAACAGATTCCAATTGTGTCTCCTTAATTAGGCCAGGAATAGGTTACATGGCATGGTGCCTTGTTTGATGTAAGGGTGTGGCGGCCACTTAATGGTTTTATTACCTCACTGTTTGTGAGCAAGTGGGGGCATCTTTTATGTTTAAATTAGGAATATATGCATCATGTTGTGGTTCATCAGTGTGAGAACTGATGTGTTGGTAAAGTTTAGGACAGAGCTGTGAAGAAGCAAGCAGGTAGTTTCTTGTGCAAGACAGGGAGAGACTGCCCATTCGGACAATGACAAAGTCAAACTACTAAATTTATCTTGAATGTTTTTCTATCCTTTCTCACAAAATTTAAAGTCATAAATGTCAGAGGAAGCAGAAATCAGCGCTATCCGCCTTTGTTCTTGGGACATTCTTGTGTTGTGCCTTTAGCTACAGGGTTTGGGGAAAGAGTGACAATTCTGTGGCTGTAACTCTTCAGGGGCTCCTAAAAGCAGACAGAGCTCAGTGGTTTCTAGGGAACACTGTGGAGCGTGGACATTGAATCTCAGTGAAGAATGCTCAAAAGCAATGAAACACCGTGGAGGACAAAAGGCCATCGGTGGAGTAAACGACCATCCTCGCCCTCAGATCAGACTGCAGAGGAACATATTTGACTCTGTGAGTATGTGAGTGATATAAAGAAAGAGAAGGAGAATGAAGAGACTGAGAGGAGAAAAATATGGGCCTGCTGAGACACGAATATTGCATGTGATTTCATCGTCCCCCTGTGAGAACAACAGAGAATGAACTGTGCGCTTGTAATAATTTGTCTCACACAGATGCACGGATAGAAGCACTGAGGAGTGTTAGAATGCACAACACAGGCACTGTGTGGATGTAACGACTTGTGTGAATTTGAGCATGTGTTTTGTTGTGTGAACGAACGTAGCTGCTTTGAACTCACAGTCATCTCTTGGCCCTGGCCCAGGATCTCCAGCTGCTGTTGGATCTCTTGGAGCCGCCTCTCCTGCCCTCTCCTCTCCTTTATATCCTGCAGGACCTTCTCTCCTGGCTGCGGGTCCCCATCGCACTTCCAGCCAACCTCTGAGCTGTGGCCCTGATACACAACAGACACGACTGGTTCTCACGGGGAGCAAACAATTCTTCTCACATGTGGATGTGCTTGGGTTCTCCTAGAGGGGAACTGCACATTGTTCAGAAACCCCCACGAAAAATGTCCAATTGGATTGAAAGCCCACAGCTCTGAAGGCCTGTTTTAAATACACACTCTCCTGGAGTTTTTCACCCTTAATAAAAAAAAAAGTCAGGTGACCTTCATCCGGTCAACTTTGACATCATGGTAACAATAATAAACACATGTTAACGCTGTAACGTTAGGTTTACAACAAAACTACTGGGAAAAGATCATTGTTTGGGTTAAAATAAGTATGTCAGTTATGTTACAGACATAAGTTAGTAATACCAGAGTGTGTGTTTTCAGAACAGTAGGCCTTCGAGGCAATGGGAATTTGTTTTCCGAATAATGGGCTGTTGGACAAATGGGCTTTCAGTCCAATGGGACATTTTTCAAAAAATGTTTTGGGTTTCAAAATAATGGGCCGTTGGAACAATGGCACCCTCCTAGAACTGCACTCAAAGCTTAAGAAACATTTAAATAGGGATCAAACCCATATATCAGTTTATTGAATATTAAAGTTTTCCATTCCTCTAAGACTCTTGAGTTACAGCATGCTTATTTCTTTTAAAATGTCATCATGATGGCATGTCCTAAAGATGTAGGGATGAACACCAATACTGCTTTTTACAGACAGCGAGTAAAAATCAGGTGCTTATATTTAAGACTTGAGAAAGCCATACAGTCCACACGGGGTCCAACATAAATCACAGATTTATAGCATCCACGTGCACTGGGTTGACACAATGAACCGCAAGCTGCATCCAAAGCAAACTTTGAAAATGGGTCAGGAGGAAATGGGTGAGTCATGCCCGGAGGACCAATCCATAGACAGCTGATAAGTAAGCGGCTAGTCATTCTGATCAAGACATGGATCTTTTTCATTGGAGAGGGAACAATCTGTGGTGAGGTCATCAGATTCAAATTACACATTTAGATGTCAAGTTTGTCACAAATATTTGAACAGGTCATAAGTCTGTCACAAACTGTGTTGATGCTGAAATGCTCTGCTAGGTTAAGGGAATAGCTTCTGCAGATGTAGTATGATGAACTGTAGGTGCTGAAAAGCTAGCATAGTTGTGGCAAATCTCAAAGGATAGGTCAAACTGTAAATATCCACCCCACTCACAATTCATTCTTTATACGTAAGGATGGAAAAACATGGCGAAATGAACAATACTGTAGAGACTGACCAGTGAATGACCTGTGGTACCGTCATATTGTGACCTCTAAAAATACACAGCTCTATAAAAGCAGCAACTAGGTCGAAAAAAAAAATTTGTTGGGTCTGAGAGGATGTTGCCAACCGCAGGGCTGTTTTGGAGTGTCAGTCCAGCGCCATGTGGTTGAAATCTCCATCTCTCTTGGTTAGTCTGGATGCCAGGCAGGCGTATGTATGATCTAATAATGTTGAAATTGATGGATATTTCATAAAATGTCGACGTCTCATTAGGGAATTGCATACAGCGAAATGGTAGGTTACCGGAGACAGCGGGATCCACCAGAAATTGTGAACTTAATCACTGAGTTACTAAATCTATTATGACACATTTATGATAGGATGTAATCTTAGTTAAACCCTCGGTAGGAGGGGAGTTCAGTTAAGTCAGCCAGTGTGTTGAGGAGAAGAATAAATGCTTCTAACAGGCATGCCTACATGACTAATATCACGTATTGCATTTACACAGATTTCAGGAAACTGAATGATACCAGTGTTACTTAACTTTAATATTTAAATCTTGGCAAAAACAAGAAGTGTGTGTGGCCTCACCTACCAGTGCCCTCTGTCTCCCTATAGGGAAATAATGACAGCTTCTATCTGAAGCCTCTTTTAAGTGGTCGTTACTAGAGCCGTTCAGTAAAGACTCCCTCATCCAGACTACAAAAGAGAGGACCACGACGGGATCAGACTCCTGTCATGCACCAGAGTGAGAAATACAGCATCCCAACCAGGAAAAATAAAAATTAAAGTCTAGCTTTACCACCATCCTCACACCACTAAATGCATGTTTCTAAAAAAGCCCAAATCTTTGGGAGAAACAGTTTATTTAATTTGGAAACAACATCTGCCCTACTTTTCAAGAACTATAGACTGCAAACTTTAAAATCGCCTGCAGGGCTTAGCCATGATAAAACTATGACTGGCCAAAGTTTGAGTGAATTTGGCACGTGTGTCACATATTTTCCTGAACCAATTCTCTGTGGCCAAATTAACACAATGTGAATTCTGGTGAGTGTAAGGGGAAAGTCTCTTTGTATAAACTTTACTGATTTGACCGTAATTACAGAAAAGATAGATGGTCCACAAATTACACATCATCTTTCCTGGCTTTCACCTTCCCGTTACTGTATGACTGTCTTCTATTAGTTACAACAATGGAAAATAAAGCAAAGCTGTGAGGTTTACATAGTTTGTTGCATACGCTACTATCAAGTCATGTGACACCTGGATCTCACTCACACCCTTTCCCAAGATTCTTCCCTTCTTCCACTGAAACAAGTAATCAGATGTTTTCCTAATGTTTATTAATTATATAAATTTACTGCATGACTACACAGGAGATGTTTCAGCCATGTTTTTCAGTCATGAAACCGTGTTCGATGGAACACTGTTATCAATCCAGCTGTCTCCACAGGCCATGTAACGTTTCGCATTTTACTTGCGTTGTACTAGTGTAAACCTAACCCAAAGCATATTTTTACACTTCATGTCTATTTTTTCCTGTTTTACAAACAAAACTTCTTAATGGAAAGCTCTTAACTATGCTATTATAATATTCAGAATCATCAAACTAAATCTGCAAAATGATCATTTTTATTCCAATGGACTGAAACAAGACTAAGAGTCAGGCAAGTGTCTCTGTAAGGTAGAACTTAGGTATAGCTGTGGTTTCAGCTAACTGCTAACATGCTCACGATGACAATGCTAATGCTCATATTTAACAGGTGCAGTGTTTATCATATTCTAGTTTGCTGTGTCGCTAGCGTGGCTAAAAACATCCCACCAACAGTAAACTGTATTCGTTACAGTGTCATGCGAGGTTCAACTGCACACGTTGGTTCTGATGCTTGAAATGTAATGCCGAGATGAAACCGATTTGATATTGTTTGAAATACAGAATGTGAATATGTACTTGCTTTGACCAATGATAACTGAAAGCTGTATGAGATCATAAGTGTTAAACTGACACAGGGCTCATTTTATGTTTCATAAAAGACGCAGTAGCCTATAACTTACTATTTGCAGCACTTTCGCCACAATGTTTCTAATTATGTAATTGATTAAGCAGTAATAATAAATAAGTGCTAAAACTTTAGATCCACTTCCAAGTCATTAGCAAGAATAAACACTAGTCTCCTGTGCCAACTGTAGTAATGACACACTTCTTGAAGAAGATTATGTACAAATAATGTTTCTTGACCTTTATAGACTCCAGTGATTATTCTTATTTGCTACTTCTCCTGGAATGTGTGATAGCATTAACTTAACATGAAGTTAAACCGAGAGACTTCCAAACAGCCTATCTGAACATCAGCAAAAAGCTGGCAATTGGCTCGCCTTGGAGTTGTCACTTGACATGCTGTTAAAGATCTCCAATAATCACATCACCTATCTGGGTCACAAGACTGCTGGAAGGCCACAAAGATCTAGACTTTGAAAAACATGTCAAACATAATTATGTTGAGAAAAGTATGTCAGCCTATTGATGGTGATCAAATTGGAATTTGATGTTGCATTAGAGTCACAAGTTGATATAAAGTGCAGCATTGTAGTACAGAGTATTACGCTGACTGCCAAGTGTACATTGAATGCAGAATGAATGTTAATAAAAAAGGGGAAAAGCTCATTGGTGCATGATATGACAATTCCTGAGAAGCTGTCCTTGTTTCAACTTACGGTTCAGATTTTGCTTTCCCACAATATGAAAAAAACAATTTGCCAATTTCCATGAGCTAAACCATCATTAGTCGATTATTTGTAGGAGTTTCAGATAACTTTGGTCAGCCATGCATTACACATTCATGAAGTGGGTATTGATATCCTGCGATCAATTTTAGGATTTCAGATAGAAGCAATACATTCCACCCTGGGGTTGTCATGTTCTTTGAGTGTGAAACAGCTGCAGCGGTTGATGGATGAGCCGCTGTTGTCCAGAGTGACGAAATAGGAAAAACTACGGAGATTATTTTATGTTTATAATTTAAAATAAATCTTGAATGCCTAACACTAAGCAATACTGAGTGTGCTTTATCTTGATGTTCCCATTAAAAGGAACATATAATTACATCACGTCAATCATATTAGTTTTGTTAGACAGTGGAGGGAGCCACTGAGATTGGTAGCCTGGAGCTTCTCTGCTCCAATATGGGTTGCATCTGTGGTGTGATTTGCCAAATATAACAGCTGGATCTTCTCATGCAGGCGCATTCTCAGATACATCTCATAAACAGCAAGAAAACAAGACAAATGACTTGGTCACCCTTGTGTATAAGTATTATCTTGCATCCTATTGCAATATATTACATACAGTATATACAAGGCAAACAGTGTACCCACCGTTTGCGTCAGGTTCCTTTATACTGTGCATTAGGTGTTTAAGAGGCCTGCCTGAATCCGGATCAAGAACTGCTCGATGGCGCTGTTCAGACACTCAAGACAAGCTTAACAGGCAAGGCATGCTCTGAGGCAGCTAATCCAAGGAAGTATCAACAGTCAAATCATAAACACTACTGAATATTCCAAACAAACTAATTTGTACAACGTACGGTCCTTCCAATCACATTCTCCAGGACATTTTTGACTAGCTAAAGTCAAAAATAGATACATGTCTTTTTTTTTTGTGCAAACATACAAAGTTACACAAATCGAACAGGGGGGGAGTCCTTTCCTTGAAAAACACTTATGTGATGTGACTGCCAGC